CTCTCTCTCTCTCTCTCTCTCTCTCTCTCTCTCTCTCTCTCTCTCTCTCTCTCTCTCTCTCTCTCTCTCTCTCTCTCTCTCTCTCTCTCTCTCTCTCTCTCTCTCTCTCTCTCCAATGTCACGTCAACGAGATTATCAGAGGCGACCCTCCTCCTTCAATTATAAAATAAACCCGACCTGGGGGTCTTTTCTTTTCAATCTTCTCTTTCTTGAATCTCGAATTCTTTAGAGGGAAATAAATTACAGATTACACGGAGAGGGAACGGTTGATCGAGAGAAAAATGGAAAAATGGGGATGGAAAATTGCAGTGATTCTCGAGCCATTAAATCCCCAAGTTGTCTCTCGCTCTATTTTCCCTGTTCGCGCATTCGTTCTTTTCAATATTTCAGCGGCCGGCGAGATTTCCTCGCGTCTACAATTACACCGTAACGCAAATTACGCGGTGGTATCCCGGCTTGAAATTACCTCGGCTCGGCTCGCCACCTATTTCCAATTCACGGGGTTACTTTAATTCTCGTTACTCTCGCGAGGGAAAAACATCGGCCCGTTCCACGGCCATGATTCACACGATAATTTGCCCGACCTTCGCGCGCGTACACGTGTAATGAGCGCATTAAGACCGCTCGTTAACCCAATCGAAAAGGAGGCGACCGTGTTTTCTCGCTATGACGAGTTAATCACCGCCGATGATTATTCCAAGGTGGAGCAATGTGTCGAAATTACGTCGTTGCAACAGGAAAAATCAATCATCGAGGTTTTTTTTTTTTATTAATTTTCTCTCGTCTTCTCTTCTCGTTCTGCGAAAAAAAAAGAGAGGGGGGAAAAAAAAGTATCTGTGAATCTGTATTCTGAATTTATATCCGAGTGGGATGCACGTAAGATAACGTAAGTTGAATTTTAATTAAGAACACACGCGGATAAACTACGATCCAACTTTATTACGTTCGATTTATTCGTTTGACGTGTGATGGAACAACATAAATTTTCATTAGATCGTGAAAAACTATAAATAATTTTCAACGCCAGAAAGCAGAAGGGAAGATAATTGCTTTTTTTCTCTTGGCTGGGGGGATAAGATTTCAGACTTGATGGCCGAGGAAAGGTCAGACACACGAGAAGATAACATCGTGATTAAAAAAAAAAAAAAAAAGAAAACACCTACTCAACCGATTTCTAGATCTATACGAGTATTATATATAACAGTTCCCTTTAAACAGATCGAAGCAGCAGGTTTAAATTTTTTTTTTAGAGGAAATTGAAGAGAACGAATGAATTCTATTTCTAAGAATTTCGTAAAATCGATCAGTTTCTATAACAATTTCTATTGTTGGATCTCAAGTTGGAAACAAGTTGGTTGATGCAAAAGGCAGGCGTGGAGGAAGAGGAAGACGAAGTGGAAATGGTGGAAATAGTGGCCAGACACGAAAATGAATCTGATTAGACTTATCGTTCGGCTATAATTATTTACTTTTACATTCGTCGACTTTTTATCGAGTTGTGTATCACGATAGATAGACGCATGCAAGATTGTGCTTTATTTATTTAATAAAAAGAAACAAATTTTGATGAAAGAACCAAACAAATAATCAAAAAATTTAATTTGAATCGTTGGAAACAATAATTTTCCAATAAATCCATCCCATTCTTTTAAGAAACATCGAACAACTTTTCCGCGATTCTACTTTCAGCGAGCGTGAAAAAAGAAAAAGAAGAAGAAAACCATACAAAACACGGAATTACAAGAAAAACTGGAACGTGCATAAATTCTACTTTATTTCATCGCTAGAATCATGGAACAAACGATCAAACGTTGAAACTCTACCGTAAATTGGGGGAGGTATGGATGTAAACACGCCTCCTTCCGTAAAACGTTAATATTTTCGAATGAACACGTGAAAATATCGCGTGCTGTGTTGTGTTGTGCTTCCTCCAAGTCTGGCCGTCTCCATTCGTCGAAAACCGGGTCGCATCCATTTGCAAATTGAACTTCCATATCCTCGCGAGTAAAGCACACGTTCGGCTCAGAGGTTTGAACCCTTTGTCCCTTCCACGATATATACAGAGATACATTGCCCCTCGAAAGTTTGTGGACACTTATTAATTCTATAGAATTCGTGCTTTGCATATATAATGTAAATTATTAATATTAAACGACAACTTTCAACGATTCATCCATCAAATTATCAAAAAATTTAATTTATTAAAAACCTTATATCTAAATTAAATTTATTTCTGAAAAAAACTATCAATAAGCTCGTCCAACATTTAATTTCTAAATCTATATTTATAATTTTATTTTCACAAAAAAAAAAAAATAAATAATATAAATTTAGCTCTCTTATTTTATTAAATTTTTAAATAATTTTAATTAACTCCGATGCAAAAGGTACAAATTTATATTCTACATTTTTATATTTAAACAATCTCATTCAAAACGTAATGGAATATGTATTCCAACAATGTTAAATCGAATAGATTGAAAACTTGCATGGACAAGTAAAAGCACGTAGATGGACACGCAAACGAGAAGAAAATATAGATTTTTTTCAAATGATCATTAATAAATCGTGTAAAATTTGATCTCTCTCCAAAAGTTGACGAAATCCAACGAAACTTCTCGAAAAAAATTTCGCAAAGAATCAAGAAAGTGTCCAGTTTTATTCGAGAGTATATATATATATATATTCGACCCCGATGTTTCCTCCACCAACTGTCACGCGATAGATCTTCGTTCCCGTTTCGAAGCTCGTGAACTCGATGAAAGTGCGGATTTTAAAATAATGTCTATCGATCGATAGAGATAGAGGGAGGTGTACAGGTCGATGCGTTTCAACCCCGAGATAATGCCACTTTGCCGTTGGAACAGGAGGGGGAGGGTGGCGAGACGTCGAGCCTCGTAATTTCACAGAGAGGAGAGAAAGGCTTTTCCCCTCTGTTGTCTCGTACGGAGAGAATGATTTCCTCCGTAAGAGAAGCTAAGATTCCCCCTCCCCTTCGATGAGAGATAACGATGATTTGTCGAGACGATACTTGGCCAATCCCGAGCCGGATAAAGGTGGGAGATATTGCTCGAGTTAAGTTTTTGGACGAGCTCGTTTGTACGGGCCTCGCGCGATAAGGGGTGTCCCGATCGCTTTCTGCTTAATTTGGTTAACGCGACGAGAAACCAGAGAAATATCGCGGCGGCGTCTGCGGCAAAAGTGAAATTCTCTCTCTCTCTCTCGGTGGATAAGATAAGTAATTATCTCTGGACTGGGTTTCGCTTAAGACGTTTATTATAAACGTGTCGAGATTCAAATTTGCAAAATAGGAAATAGCGATGCTTTAAAACGAACGGTGCTTAACTAATTAATTGTAATCGAAGGTTTCACGTTATTCTATTAAATTAACGACGGATATAAACCGGAATCTGATAATTCGAATCGCTACAAATTCGAGACATTTTCCCCGAGCTCGAATTAGTCAGCCAACGAGCTGATCCTAAAAGCCGTTCGATGTTCGAATATATGGTGCCCGATGTTGCGAGAAAAGTAATAACTCGTTAATTAGTAATTTGTCGCGAAACAAGTTTCGATGAGAATCGGATTCCTTCCGGGTTTCTTCTCGATCACGTAACGTTTTTTTCCCTTTTCGATCGATTCCCTTGCCCTCGAATCGATGGGGGTGGCTCCTTCCCCCCTCCCCCCTCCCCCCTCGTAGTTTTAAGAATCCGACGGTCGGTTTCGTTGACATACCTTTCCCAGGAGAGCCGTCGTGGAATTTCATCGCTTGGAACGAAGCTTGGCCTTTGGTTCAAGAGCCTCGCCAATCTGGTCAAAGGTTGAGAACCACCGATGCTGGAGGTACTCAGCCTCCCGCTTCTCGTCGAGTGTTCCTTCGAGGATTCTCTGGTTGGTGGGCCCGAGTCCGAGACGCGACGTTCTTTAAATAAAAGAATAAAGAAAGAAAGAAAGAAAGAAAAAAATGAAGAAGAAAAGAAAAATGGAATATACATAAAAGGGAAAGGGGAATAAAAATAAGACGTATTCTCGTCTCGAGAAAATTGTCTCGTTATTCTCGGATATTTGTTTGTAAATAACGAATAACAAATAAAATAGTTTTAACGAGACTTGAAAATATTATCGAAATAAGGGAAAACGAAGTTTCGAAGAATCAACAGTGTGGATAGGAGAGATAGAGATTTTTCTATTTTTACCGTTAAACGTTATTGTAGAGAAAAAGGGAATAAAAGTAATTGTGTCGGTAAAAAAGCTAATCCATTAGCTGCCATCGTATAAATTTCATATTCCTCCAAATAAAATTATCTCGTTAAATGGGGGAGAAAAAAGAAAAAAGAAAAGAAGAAACATTTACCATCAACCTTCTTTGCCGAATAAAATTTATACAGATATTACAGTATTGCGCGTTTAATAAACTTAATCTCCTAAACTTTAATAAAAAACAAAAAAAAAAAAAGAAAACAGAAACTCTCATTCATCAAAAAAAAAAAAAAAACTACTCGAAAGATTTAAAACGATCGTACGTTTTTTTCATCGAATCGAGAAAAAAGGAAAGAAAGAAACTCTCCTCATCCCTTCGTTCACCCGAATCGATCGATCGATCGATCGATCGACTTCCCTTTCCAAGGATAAACCCTTACCTATCGTGTCGTCCGTGAAGGATATCCTCGGCGCGAGCAACTTGGTGCAATGGGAGGCGGTACTGCCACGTTTCGTCGAACTTGCACCGTCCACGGGTGGGACGGATAAACCAGTTGATGCGGCTGTAATCCGCAAGTTATCCAAGTTGCACGCTCGTAATAAAAACGATACACGATGGGAAACACAATGTGACGGAGAGGATAATTTAAAAGGAGGAGAGAAAGAAACGATCTTATTTATCAACGTACCATTGTAACGAGCATCGATCTGCGCCTGAAGGATACTCAAACCGGGCGCGACTATGGCTGGCAGAGTTCTGGAACGTAAGAGGGGGGCAGGACGTCCCCCAGGACCCCGTGCACCTCTCCCTTCCGTTTTGCATTCTACCGTCGGGATGCTGGAACAGAGCAAGCCATATTATTATACCATTCGGGAATATTCGACGTGGAATATCAATGAACCTTCCCCCTCGAGATTTCCAAGATATTAATCGTTCCACTTGTACACATTTGTATACACAGTTTATTCCGAGGCGAAATTTGAATTTGTCCGTTTGTTGCGATTTTCGAGTTTCCGCTCCGTTCATTATTATTCATTCGATGATAATATTGCCAATATACGAATCTCTTTTCTCTCCAGAGATTCCACAGATATTAGCCGTTCTGTCGAAAAGAGTAAATAAATTGTTAAGCGATAACAATTTATTTCAAACCCTCGAATAACGTTTATTCTGGTTGGTCTATTACGTGTCTTGGGCGATACTGATAAAATTATTCGAGCAATTTTGCCAAGTAACGTTACTCTTAATTTCGACCCATTTCCTGAAACGCGGTTCTCTAAGAATTTAAATGCTACGCAATGAAATGTTTGGATTTTCAGATATGGAAAGAAACATTTGTTTCTTTCTTTTCTTTTTCGATAAACATTAAATTTTTATTACATCAAATGAGTCTATTCTCTTTTCTTCTTTCTCTCTGAATCGCGTCCACATTCGGAATTTATTAGGGGAAAAATGTACACGATTCTATGGAGACTCGTCACGAGGGGAAAATAAAGATGAGGAACAGAATCTTTTTTCCCCCCTTTTCGTGTAATAAGACGAGAACGATCGAAGAAAAAAGCAGAGTGGCAAGAAGTCCCGAGGTAAACGTTCGGAAAGGAAGTCGGTGTCACGAGATCGGGATTACGCTCAGGATCGCAGGAAGTTCATCTACCGGCACGGACCACTTTGTCTCTCCGTCTCTTCCACCACGTCCTTTTATTCCCTTTCGATAATTAATTCGTCGCTACGTGTACGGCTGCTTGGTGTATAACGATCGATCGAACGAGGCTTTGTTGTAAAAAAAAAAAAAAAAAAAAGAGGACGAAATATCAAATTTGGATAAACTAAATGGCGTATTCGAAAATGTTAATTTTTATATCGAATCGAATCGGTGAATTTTCTCGGTCGAAAAAACGAAACGAATTTGTTGAATGAAAGAAGAGAAGAGTGTTATTTAACGACTCGATAAAGAGGATTATTTACTAGGAGAGAAGAGAATAATATCGCAGCCAAGTTCAGAAGTTGGGAGATAACAAGACGATCAAATTGCGGAAAACAACTTATTGACACAATCGCCATCCCTCTCCCCCCCCCCTCTCTTCTATCTCCCCTACTACCGTCTACTTTCAACTGGGTCACATTCTGCATTCAATTAAAACTTGAAAATTATTAAAGCGAAGATTAACCGTCCTTAAAACGCGCGTCATTTAATACTTAGAGACTTGAGAGAGAGAGAGAAAGAGAGAGAGAGAGAGAGAGAGAGAGAAGC